GGAGGCACCTCACCCTCTCTGAGTCCTTGCTTTTTAATCCACAAGGAGTTAAAGTAGATATGCACTGTTGGAAAGGTTGAGGCGGGAAGCACCCTCGAGGGCATCTCCCCTCTTCGTTGGTGTTGGGAGGCATCAGAAGGACTCGGTCTTGCTCTTTGGTCTGTGCGGCTAGGAGCCCAGGCCTCCGACCTGAAAGGCTGTGCCCATTTCCCTGGCTCTCAGGGAGAGGGGGGGTGCTTGGTGCAGTGTTCCAGGAACCTCCCACTTGGGCAAGTTTCTTATTTGTGTCAGGACCATTCTCTTCTACTCCATCCTTGATTCCTGCCGTGGGCACCACCGGGCTCCATCCACCCAGCCTGCAGATAAGCTGGTAACAATGTTATCGCAGCTGCCAGGCCCTTCAGGGCAGAAGTCCTTTGTTGGGCAGTCTTGGCTCCTTGGGGGGGCGGGGCGGGGAGGGTGATTCTGGGTGGATCCAGGTTTAGATGGAGAGCTGAGAGGGCCTGGGGCAGGGCCTGGCTCCTAGTAGATGCTCAGCGAGTGCTCACTGGATACATAAGTGACTGGGAGCTCTAGGACATAGAGGGCGAGAGCCTCCCCTGGAAAGAAGAGCAAGACTGGGATCCCTGGGTGGCGCAGCGGTTTGGCGCCTGCCTTTGGCCCTGGGCGCGATCCTGGAGACCCGGGATCGGATCCCACGTCGGGCTCCCAGCATGGAGCCTGCTTCTCCCTCTGCCTGTGTCTCTGCCTCTCTCTCTCTCTCTCTCTCTCTCTCTGTGGCTATCATAAATAAATAAAAATTAAAAAAAAAAAAAAAGAGCAAGACTGCATTTGGAGCCAGTGCTCACGTATCCCTGTGTGGCGCTGGGACAAGGCAGTCCCGGGAGTTAGGAGGCTCCAGACTGGCTTCTCACTGTGTCATCCTGGGCAACTCACTTTATCTCTTTGAACCTTTTAAAAACATCTGTCACGGGACACCTGGGTGGCTCAGTGGTTGAGCGTCTGCCTTCGGCTCAGGGAGTGATCCCAGGATCTAGGATCGAGTCCCACATCGGGCTCCCTGTGAGGAGCCTGCTTCTCCCTCTGCCTGTGTCTCTGCCTCTCTCTCTCTCTCTGTGTATCTCTCATGAATAAATAAATAAAATCTTAAAAAAAATCTATCACGTGGAAATAGGAATAACAATTTGTAAAGTGTAAAGTGCTGTATAAATAGAGAAGTGGAGATGAGATGTGGAGAAGAGGGACCCTTAGGTCCCATTGGCGGGAACGTAACATGGTACAGCTGCTGTGGAAATAGTATAGCGCTTCTTCATAAAATTAAAAATAGAGCCACCATACGATCCAGCAATTCTATTTCTGGGCATATAACCAAAAAGATCTGAAGGTAGGGTCTTGAGGAGATGTTTGCATACCCATGTTCACAGCAGCATGATTCACAGTGGCAAAAAGGTAGAAGCAACCAGATGTCGGGATGCTTGGGCGGCTCCGAAGTGGCCCCCAGGGAACTGAAGTGTAATAGCAGGGAATTGGCAAGCAGGGGCAAGAATGATCTTGGCTAACCTGATCATTCCTTTCGTCTCCGAAGGGGCAGGTTCTGCTCGCTTTCTGCTAGAGTCCAGACATGGTAGTTTTGATCAACATATTGTGCTCAGGGAAGGCAAATCTGTATTCAGAGTATCTGTTTCAGAAGAACAAAGCGCTACGCCTTCCAAGATGGAAGTGGTTAAGTGTAATCAACCTGCCACCAGGTGCTGGCTGACCACCTTGGAGAACAGTGCCATCTGGGGACTCAGTGTTTGGCCTTTGCTGCTGGCAGACGGAGCGTTCAGCGGTAGCCAGTCCAGCGCTGGTGGGTGGAAGCCCGTGCACACCTCCATCCCTGCCACTCTGACCCACCGGGCCATGGGCAGCAATGGCTGAGGAAAGAGCCTGACAGGTGCCCACAAATGGGTCATGCCATCAACCTGGTTATTAAAATCCCCCTCTGCTGAAGTTAGCGTTTGGTGAGCACTAATGTGGAATACAAATCTCTTCACACTTTCTTTATCCATTCAGAGAAACCTGTCAGCATACCTCTACCTCAGACCTCCAAGGCACATTTTCCAGTAGTGTTCCTTCCAAAGTTCCTGACCATTTACCACTGTTACCTAAACCATTTACCACAGCACATGAATTGGTATAGACCCTCACCTGTGGCCATTTCTTCTTGCAGGCACAATGTACAACCTGGTGCACTGCGTACAACGGGTCTGCCCCTGCGAGGATGGCCCTTCACCGGTCCACCAGGGGTGCTCCAGAAAGGGACTGCCGTGCTTCCATGTCCACTTTTGGGGTTCGAACACAGTTTACACTGACTCTGAAGCCGTAAACTGTTACATTATACTTCTCCCACTTGTCACCACTTTGATTAATCTTCTTTAGGAGGCTCAACCAAATGGAAGGGAGCTCTATTCACCAGACAGATGTTCTCTTTGGTAAGTTGAAGGTGGTCGCCTACTGGGGACCGGCTCTTAGTATGCCTACTCCTCAGTGAGTGTCCTGAGATTCGATTCTGCACCTCTTCCCCCATGACAGCCATTTAAATACTCGAAGGCATTTGTTGAACCCTTCCTGTAGGCAGGCCTTCCTCTTACCATCATATTCAACTGCAATCACCCCATGTGGTTTCTTGACTTTCTTCTAAAGCCTCCACCATCCTGACATGTTTTCTGCAGCCACAATGTACCCTCAACATCCAGAGACAACCACTGAGGTTATATAGACTTTATTTCCAAGAACAAACAAGGTACAGTCAGAAGTAAATGGGTAGAGTCGGCTCGTGGACAGCAATGTTCATTCAGCAAATGTTTCATGAGTACTTGCCATGTGTAGGCCGTGTATGTTGGATCCTATCCATGGACCACTGAGGACTGGTTCAGGAAGAAGAGCTCTAAGGAACCCACTTCCTGACATCAACGGCAGTGATACAGAATGAGTCTAAGAAGCCTGGTTGGTGCCTCTCTTCTCCCACCCAAAGCCCCTTTGGTCCTAGTGGGAGGTGGGGACCCGTATTAGCTTCGTGCTAGCCTGGGTCCTAGAATTGATGATGCTTGCTCCTGCTGACACCATGAATACTAGGTGGCGATGGGTACATCCCCTGCCTTCAATCACTCAAGCACACCATTATAGACAGCTTTCCTGTCTTGATGCCTAAGCAAGATTAGAAAGGTCTAGCCGTTGGTTTATTCATCTTCATGTATTTTAAGAGATGTCTATTAACCTACTGCTGTGAGATCCATCTAGTATGCAGCAAGGACTATCACCCACTTTGATCTGTACCTCCTGGTTTTGAAGATACCACTCAGGGTTATCTGCATTTGTGCAGGCTCCAGATTTCTGGCTTCTTTAATACTTTGCTCTATTTGACATGCTGTTCCTTGTGTTTGCCGTTTAAAGAATTTTCTCTGGTTGTTTCTTTCAAATGCTGAGTCGGGTTTTAGGCAAGCATATATTCCTGCTTAAAAAGACTTAGGATATGATAGTGGTATATTGTTTTAGTTAAGCCACAAGTAGTTTCTCTCTCTCTCTCTTATCTGTCTGTCCATCATCTATCTATTGTATTTAGGCTTAAATACACACACACACACACACACACACACATTATGTTTAGAGTGAAATATACACACATCCATGGTAATTCTGTTACCATGGAGACAGTTCTACAAGGGCTTAAAAATTGCTTAATGTATAAGAATATAAAAGACTATACCTAGTAGGGCACACACACAGTTCCATTAAAAAAAGACTGTATTTATTCCTCAGGATCTGGGTCTTCCTCATGAACATGAAGTAATGAAACGTACATAACTCTCAAATTTAAGGATTCAGTGCTCCTACCAACCATAAAAACCTATTTGTGGGCATTGAGTCACCCGCCTGTATTTAGGAAGTGTTTGCCAAAGTATTGGTACAGCTTTTTTATTTTTATTATTGCTACTAGCATCCTGTTAAGGGTAGGCAGTGATTGATAAAGGTGAATGCAGTGCAGAGAGACGGAAGGCACTTCATGGGGCCCCTTGAGGCCATCTCTCTGTGTGTGCTGTGGCCATTCTAGATAGGCTGCTGACAGGTCAGTCACAGGACTTTCTGGGGTGAATGCAATAGCCAGTCTTCACTGAGAAGTATCATGGGACAACCCCATGGCCGGTTCTGGACTGGGCAAGCACGGGTGTGGGGTACTTGCCTTCCCTACGGAGGAAGGCTGCCCTGGCCATAGATGTGAGAGGTCATTGCCAAGGATGCAGGGCAGGTGGCTCCAGCTCACAGCTGTCTGCTTCCACCACCAGGATACCCAGGTCTAGGCGTTCATTGTTTAGACTCATCCAGTAGAAAGGAGTGATCCTCCAAGTGTTGGGTTGAAGGATTTTCAAACTCCAATGCAAAAGGCTCAGGAAGAGACTAAAAAAGCCACAGATGCTTCCTAGGGAGCTAGGCTGGTGTGATGAGAGTGGTGGCCATGCGCAGCCTGGCTTGGGAGCTGGCTCTGCCCACCATGTGCTGTATTGCTTTGGAGCATTGCCTCATTGCTTCCCTGGTGAGAGGAGGAGGTTGACTCTCAGGACTTCAGAGACCCCGCCCATATCTACTCTCCCCCTGGGGGAGGTAACCCTTGTGTCACTGCATTTCTCTGTATCCCCTCCCTCTGCCCGCACAACACTTAGAAGCCTGCCTCTTGACAGATGAGCAAGTTAGCACAGTGGTCAGGGGCCACTCCAGGATTCTGGAGAGTCAGAATTCCAGCTCAAAAAAATGGGCACCGTAAAAGTGCCCATCTCACAGGGTTGTATGAGAACACAGGGGACTAGAAACACCCCGTAGGAGCCTGGCACGTAGAAGTTCCTATTCAAGGAGCTCCAAGGACCCCCGGAGATTGGGTCAGAGCAGCAGCTCTGATGGACACTGTGCCTTCCCGAGATGGTTTCCCTCTGTTGTATTCAAATCGGGGAACAATGGGCCCGGGTTCTGGGAGGGGCCGAGGGTGGTCCCTCAGATCCCGGCAGCCCCAGCCCACTGGGAGGTCAGACGCCTCCTTGGCTGGACGTCTGCACCATGGACAGGGATCTGAGTGACGAGGACAGTAAGTACAGCTGGGGAGATGTGGGGCACCCACTTCTGGGGCTAGCACTGACCCAACAAAATCTTCCCTCTGGCTTCCGTGCTATCCTGGGTTCTGGGTCTGTGTTGCTGAGAGCATCCTTCCTTCCTTCCTTCCTTCCTTCCTTCCTTCCTTCCTTCCTTCCTTCCTTGTGGAAAGCCCATTTGCAGCCTGCTGGCTGTTCTTCCAGAGTGTGCCTCTGGGCAGTGGAGGAGGAAGAGGATAACAACCCAGTCGAGAACTTTCCTCCCTGACCATGTCACACCATCCAAGTCTCATATTCTTCAATCTTCCTTTCTCTGGCTGACAGTTCCCCACCCTGCTCCTGCCCCAGCCACAGGTGAGCCTGAATACCACACTTGGGCTCAGTTCTGAGATGAGGTTAATTTTAAAAAAGTGTCCTGGAAGGTCTTTACTCATGATCTTCCTCCAGCAAAGAGGTGCTTGTTCATTACTGCTCCAGAAACACAGTCCTGGTGGCCCCGACGCTGTCATTCCTGGAACAGAAATACAATGGAATCTAAGGACTATTTAAAAAGGTGAAGATGGACATGGCATTTTAGGAAGAAATGTGCTATGTTTAAAAAAAAAGAAATTTCTGATCTTGCATTTGGAAAGGGGCAGTGTGGTAGACTATAAGATTGGGGCTTGGGAGGCTAGGGTTCAGGTCCTGGCTCTGCTTTGAATTGGCTATGTGATCTTGGGCAGGTCATTTAAACTCTCTGAGTCTCAGTTTCCCCAGGTATAAAAGGAGATGGGTCAGGAGTTCCTAATTTGAAGACCATGAAGGTGAGGGCAAAATGTTGTATGAATGTACTTTTTTTTGGGGGGGGGGGAAGGGAGTGGTCCTCAGCTTTCATTTGAATCCTGGAGAGACCTGTGACACTAGTTCATTTTCACAGTTCCCGAACTTGGGGACTTTGAAGGTCCTTTGCAGATCCAGCACTATTGTCTTTAATGTAGGTAGCTAAAAGCTTTAGGTTTCAGAGCTGAAGCAGGGTATGAAATACACCCATGCAAATCTCAGCAACACATTTAAAATTTTGTTGGAATCCTTTTTCATATTGAAATGGGAGACAGTACAGAGATATTTTATCATGTATTTGAGCTAGACCTAATCTGCTGTCTGACATATTGGAAATTGTGTAGCCGTCATCTTATAAGCTTCGACTCATAAGCCAATGTAACTTTTCCTCTTTGAAATACTGCTCCTTAGCAGTCTTGCAGTTTATAATTGGAGTTTCTTAGTAGCAATGGGCTAGGTCAGATCTGGATTCAGATACAAGTTCTGCTTCCTAATTGCTGGGTGACTTTGCTCAAGTCACTTAACCTTTCTGAGCTGCATTTCTCACATTGAAAATATAGATCATATCATCTGGAAGAATTGGTAAAAGACTAATTGGATGTGAAGTGCCTATAACGTCACTTAGAGTTGAGCAGGGATGGAATAAATGATAGCTCTAGAAAATGATCAGACTATGTCTCCCAGATCTTTAAAATTAAACTGCCATTAATGAAAAATACTTTCACCTGCAGTGTTTCTGTTTGGCATCATGCCTTTTGGTAAGCCAGGTGAGAGTAAGGTTAACTCTTTAGTTCCCTTAAACTTCTAAAAACTCCGATTCTGCCAAAGCGTCACCTAAATGCTGGTTTCCAATATAATCAAACCATAGGGTCTTACTGCGAGGTATGGGCTTGTTCAGGAAAGTTTCTGGAAGCAAGTCTTTCATTTCTGATGAAATCTGAAACTAGGTCAATATTTGTCCAGGTTTCAGAAAGGGAGGCTGTGGTGGGACTCACGTAATTGAAATGTCCCTCCTTAGGCGAGAGAGGTCACTGCCCACTTTGTCCCAGGTGAGTTACTTTCCCCAGTCCCAAAAATGCTGTCTCCTCAGTTTTTGAATCTTCAACGTGGGCAGCTTCAGAGGGAGCATATCTTCTTCCAGTGACACACTTTGGCACCAAAAGGAGGCACAGACAGAGACATTCTGGGATGTGGCATCCACGTGGAAGTCACCATGAGGGCCTCTTAGCACGACCATCGTAAGCCGCTGGGCTGCCTCTCACAGCATCCCGGCTAGAGGTGGCACCTCCCGCTATTGGCAGGGGCACTTCCAGCGATAGGCTGGTCCCCTCTCCTTAGCTAAGGCTGTCAGGAATTCTTTCCTGCATTCCCTTGATAACTCTTTTCCTGGAACTTCTACTCTTTGGTCTTGGTTCTATACCCTGATCCCCCAAGGCTACTCAGTACAGGTCTGTTCCCTGTTTAAAATAAGAAACCTTCCGAGTTTTTTCTTTTCTAGCATGACCAGGTCCTGTTTTTTCAATGGTCCCAGATATAATGTGGTTTCAATCACTCTTGTCCTGGAGGGAGATGTCTTAGCCCAGAAATGAAGCAGAAAAATCCCCTCCCTTATTCTAAGAACCAGATCCCTTGTATACAACTTATTTTATTATAGGCTGACCCCCCTCCAAGAAATGATGTGCAAGAGCCTCTTCAAGTAAGGTGGACCCCCACCCTTCAACCGTAATTTAAGGACAGGGCTGCTGTGATTCTGGACAATATGACCCAGGTGGCAACTCCTTACTCCTGGGCACTGATAGCTGGGGAGGGGGAGCAGTGATCGGAAGCCACACCACCATCACCATCAGTGACCCATTGCTGAGGGATGGGGCTCATCCCTTGGTACGCAGGCCAGCTCTGCTCCCTTAAGACTTATTCATCAGTGTTCCTCCCATCCCAGCTTTGAATTGGAGACCAGAGATTGGATGAAGCTCTCAGGGTAACTTGGTAGGAAAGATGCTGGACTTCATGGCAGGGGCTCAGCTTCTAAGAGCCTTGGCGACTGACTGTGGGGCTTTAGTGTATCACGGACCCCCTGGGATGGGGGCACGGCCACCAGAAGCACAGGCCCTCCCTGTCAGTTTGGCCCTGACCTCTCGGGGCAACTCTTAGCAGAAAGATAGAGTGTCCCTTTCTGTTTTCCCAATAGCTCGTCTCAGGGACTATATTCCCTGAGCCCTGTTGTTGGGAAAGAAGACCAGGGCCCTAAAATATACAGTGATGTCCCCCCCAGATGACACAGTAGGCTAGCTCTTTGGTGCTGTGCTCATGGCTGGGGGCATAAGGATGAATGCGCTGACCTACCTCCTAGGTGTTCAAAGCCTGGTGGGGGAGGCCGACCCCAGATGGACTTTTTACAAATAATTCTTAGAAAGCTGTTTGGCAAAAGCAACAGCAGAGAGTGGAACAGAGTCCTGAGGGGAGGTGGGGGCATCGCGGGGCAGGCTTTGTAGGAGATCCAGTCTGGGCTGAGTCCAGCCGAAGCGGGGGGCCTTGGGCAGGAACCCCCAGAACAAGCCCTGGGAGAAATGACTCGGTGCATGTGCCAGGGTGAATGCACACATCAGTGTCCCGAAGGAAAGGCAGCACTTAGAAATCCCACCCCCACCCTGTGGCCTTGTCTTGGCGTGATGACACTTCCTACAAAGCAAGAGCTCCACACCCCAACTAACTGAAAAATCTGTTGTAACATTGGCTGGGTTCTCTCTTGGCATGCCGCAGGGGCCTGAAGGACCCCAAGGAGAACTTCTCCCCGGCCCTCTCCCCATGCCTCTTGATGCTGGTCTCGCTCCCATGGCGGGCGCCATGTTTGCTCTCCCAAATGTGTTCTCACTGGCTCCCACCTCGAAGCTCCCACAGAGGCCTTTCTCTCTCCTCCCCCTTCTGCTCTGTTCTTTGTCCTCACTCCCTCATGGTCCACAGTGATTGTTTTCTCTTCTCTCACCCTTTCACGTTCCAGGCAGCATGGGCAGCAGGTCTCTTCCCTAGCCGGGGAGGAGACTAGAATCTCTTCTTTCTGTCCTGCAGGTAATATGGGGCCTGTGGATACAGGGCCTGCTCCACTGAGGCCAGAGCTTGGACGTTAGCTGTGGGCTGTGGTGAGCCACCACCATGGTTAAGACGTGGGACGGCCTGGTCAGGCTTTCTGGTCTTGCTACGAAGGCTTTTAAATAACGTAGCCAATTATTTGTTTCTTCTTCCTGGCAAAGCGGGACTTTTTTCTTTCTCTTATCATCACCTGACTCTTCCGTTTTTATTACTTTAAATTATGATAGAATACATGTAACGTGAAATTTGCCGTCGTAACCACTTTTAATTGTGCTGTTTTGTGACCTTAGGTACCTTCCCATTATTGTACGACTATTACCACCATCCATCTCCAGAATCCTTTCATCTCTAGCCCCATTAAACAGTTCCCCACTGCCCTCTCCTCCTTGCTCCTGGCCAACACCATTCTATTTTATGTCTGTGTGGATTTGGCTGCCTGAGTCTCTCCTGCCCCATCTTCAGTGTAATTCTAACCACAGTGCGCTTTGGTGCACTGACTGTGTGCGGGGGGGGGGGGGGTTTCTGAAGGGGGCTCTCACCCCTCTTGGAGGAGACAAGGTAGGAAACAAACAAAAGCAAGATGGCAGTGGGGATCCATGTGAGCAGAAAAGGGGCATGGTTTTAGTGCTTTTAAGATAATTAGGACTGGAATCAGAGGCAGAAGATGTGGACTCCTTTTATCCTCTGAAATAAAGGGAATGGCATTCTAAAAAGAGGAAGTTAAAGCGATTATCCATTAATTACACCTTGCTCCACAAGAAAAAATTCCTTTCTACACAAAAGAAAAATAGCTGGTGGCTGGTGAGCATTACCGTAGAGACGCTCTGCGAAGCCTTCTCGGCAACCACTCGATGCCCTTCGTGTGGAGCAATAGGGCGTTCAGCTAAGTGGAAAGGTCACCGGCTTAGAGTTCGCATCTGAGTTTTAAGTTCCCTTCCTGGCTCTGCTGTGAATGTGTGAGCCTCGCGCCCCACATCGCATCTCTCAGTCTCCTCGTTCCTCTGCAAAGCAAGGAAAACGGTGGCTATTGTCAAGCGCAAAAGAGATCATGCCTGCGCCATCCCCTTGTGAGCCACAGGACACAATGCGTGTCGGAGGGTGGGGTGGCCCAGCTGGCGCTCAGCCCCGACCCCGGGGAAACAGTGATGCAGCTGGGGGGCCCTTCGGGGCGCCCCACGCTGGGCGTCACACAATGACCCGCGGCGTCCACGTTGCTGTTGTGCCCGCTGAGATCGGCCCAGGAAATGACGCATCTGCCTGCAGGTCAGCCTGGAGCCCTTTATTTTTGTACATAACATAATGGTGAGATTAATTTAGTGCTGACGAATTACGGCTGCCCCGAGAGGTCAGGGCGGCTCCTGGCTGATGGATGGAGCCCTGAGCTTCCCACCTCTTATTCTTCCCCTTTTCCTGCCGCTTTGTTTGGTTTCCAGCTGGGCGTCGCAGCCACAGCATGTGTGTCTGTCTTCTGGCAGTCGGAGTGGGGATGCCCCAGCGGGCCCCAGACTTGGGGGTGGGCGAGGGCCTTGCCCGGGGAGAGGGCTGTGAAGGTCTTGCCTTTCTCTCTACACTTGACATTTCCCCTCTGGCTTAAAGGAGCACAAGGGAAGGGGAAGAAGACCCTCCCTCCTCCCGTCCAAGGCATTGACTGAGCATTTATTTATCGCATGCCAGCCTCGCGGCTAAGAGCCGAGCGCACGCTGTCCTATCAGAGGGGCACTAGTACCATCTGCCGTGTGTCACAGCAGCAGGGAGGGCTTGTGTGGCGGGCTCGGTATCATGCGTCCATGACTCAGATGTGTCGGAGCCCAGGTCCCTCACCACCGTGCCTCAGGAATTCTGACTCGGGACACCCTTGGCTACAGTCCAACCCTGACCTTTATCCTTAATTCTGACACCTGGGCTCACAGGAACTGCAATGACATGCATGGGCCCTGATCCCAGAAAGGTTCAAATTCCAGCCTCCCTCTTTCTGAACCCCTCAAACACACAGGGGACCTATGCACACAGGGGATGTCTAAGGCGGGGAGGGCAAAAGAGGGCTCAAGTCTGCCCCACCGCCCGTTTTTGCAAGGTTGCATTGGAACAAAGCCATGTTCACTGAGTCGTTCATTAGCTATGGCTGCTTGCGGCCGAGTTGAGTGAGTGAAACAGACCCTATGACCCACAAGTCTACAGTATTTACGCCCTGGCTGTTCGTAGAAAATGTTTGCTGATTCCCGGCATCTAAAAGAACTTAAAATGCTAATAAGCCTATTAGGAGCAAACAATATTGAGAAGTCAGGTATGAGCGATAATCCCTAGTGAGTTATCATCTTGGGGACTTCAGTACACGTGGGCAGGCACCAGCGTGAAGCCTTGGGATGCTGTCCCCTTGCATCACACCCATATGTATCCCAGATCTCTCACCTGTGTCTGCGCAGAATCATTTGCTTACAAAGATAAGCTTTCCTGCTAAGGAAGGCGCTCCCTGCATCTAGAAACATTCTTTTGTAAGTTTCCTGCAGAGAGAAACTGTAGAGATGCATATGCGTTTCTTATTGTCAGAGGACTAAGACATTTCTAATTTAGGGGGAGTGGAAGAATGAGATTGTTCATTTGTCTTAATGACACCCTGTCTTCCCCCTCTCCCTCCACTGTTCTTAGCTGTGGGTTTCAGCATTCCAGCATTCCTCACCACCTGCGGTCCCACTTCCAGATAGACTCAGCTGCTCCAGCTTAGAGCAAGATCTGCTGCTTCTTCTGGCTTCTGTTTTTATTGAACTTGAAACGACAGGGCATATACTTTTTATTTTTGTAGAGGGGAAGAGCTGTAGGCTTTAAAGAGCTAAAAAGAAAAAAAAAGAAGAAAAGAAAAAAAAATAAAGAAGGGATCTAAGGGGTGAGGGGGATCAGCTGGTGACCAGAGTGTGTTTAGTGACTTCATGCAGAGAGAATTACTTTCCACCAGCCATATTTATCAGCTTGCCCTTTAAAGTCAACTTCCTGTAATCAAATTGGCCCCTGCAAGGACAGAGATGAGGAGTTCTTGTCTCCCAGCAGGGAGGGAATAGATTTGGGGGTGGCTCAGTGTGCTGGAACTGGAACAAGGAGCCCCTAGCCTGCTGTGACTTCACTGCTGTGCATCCTAGGAATACTGGATAGCCTCTTTGAGCCTCAGACTCCTCATGTTAAATGGAGTTAGAAGTCCTGCCTCCTGTATCTCCAGGTGGGAGGGTGGGGAGTAGCAGCAGGTATGGGGAGGTGCTTTATGAGTTGTCTGTTTCTGGGAGCCAGTTCTTTTTTTTTTATTAAATATTTTTATTTATATATTCATGAGAGACACACAAAGAGGCAGAGACACAGGCAGAGGGAGAAGCAGGCTCCATGCAGGGAGCCTGGTGCAGGACTCGATCCCATGGGATCATGACCTGAGCTGAAGTCAGACACACTCAACCACTGAGCCACCCAGGTGCCCCCTGGGAGCCAGTTCTTATCTTATGCTTTCCTCCTTGGAGATTCAGGGCTGTGTATCTCTGTCATAGCCTGACAGACCAAGCTGAGGGATTTTTAAAATTTAAATTTTAAAAGTAGAAGTATAATTAACAGTGTTATATTAGTTGCAGGAGTCTAAGGTGAGGTTTTTAACAGCAGATACACGGTGAATGATTCTTCCATGTATCAGAAAAGTACGTGGGAAGAACATGGGTTTTGGAGAACAACGAGCCCTGGTTTGAAGCCAGCTCCGTCCCTCACTGGCTGTGTGATCTTGGGTGAGCCACAACCTTTCTGAGCCCATTCCCTCATTAGGAGAATGGGACAATATGCGTCAGTTTGGATCATCTAAGAAGTAGATACCCAGATGGCAGTAGATGTGTCAGAGGTCCCTTGTAAACACATGTGGAGGGAAAAGAGGAGAGGGAGCCGGTGTGGGCAGACCACGCTGCAGGTGGACACCTGTGAGAGGAGGGCGGGAAGGAAGGAGCCTCAGACTGTGGTGTAGCTCCAAGAAAGTCTTGCTCAGTTTGCGGGGAGTCCCAGAGCAAAGACTGCCCATTGCAGGAAGCTGCATTAAAAAAACCACTCCACATCCCAGTGCCTTAAAACAACCACCATTTCATTATCATTCATGATTCTGCAGGTCTGGAATTTGGGCAAGACTCAGCTGGGTGATCCTCCTGCTCCCTGTATAACCGATTAGGGTCTGTCTTAGGTTGTTTGCTGCGACAAACCATAGACTGCCTTGCTTAAGCAGCAGACATGTATTTCTCACAATTCTGGAAGCTGGGAATGCCAAGATTCAAGGTGCCGGTAGACCCAGGGTCTGGTGAGAGCCTGCTTCTGGCTTGCAGACAGCCACCTTCTCACTGTGTGCTCACAGGGCAGTGAACGAAAGAGCCCTATTAGCCTCTTTCCCTGCCCTGGCACTAATCCCACCACAGGGGCTGTGTCCTCACCACCTCATCTAAACCTAATCACCTCCCAAGGGCTCCAGCATGTAATGCCATCCATCAGGGGTCAGGGCTCCAACATATGAATGTGCAGGGGACACCGACATGTGGCCCATAACAGGGTCAATCAGTGGTATTCAGCAGGCAGCTGGCCTGGCGGGCCGGATGGCTTTGCTCGTGTGCCTGGTGGCTTGGCAGGATGGATGGGCGGCTGGAAGTCCAGGCTCTGCTGGGCTTCTGTCCATGGGTCTACACGTAGTCCACGTGGTCTCCCAGGAAGCTAGCCTGATTTCTGACCCGGCAGCTCGGCTCAGGGGGCAGTGCTCCAGGAGGGAAGAAGTAGAAGCTGTGGTCTCTTCGTTGCTTCCACTGTGTTCCCTTGCCTGAAGCAGTCGCAAGCCTGCCAGGGTCAAGGCGAGGCGATACAGATGCATCTCTTGAGAGAAGCATCGAAGAAATGTGAGCATCTCTAAATCAGTATCTGTCTCCTGGGGTCCTGAAATACGATCATGTTTCTAAAGCACCTGCCATTAGAAACGACCACTACCCACCATTTGCTTTGATGTGGATGGAACTGGAGGGTATTATGCTGAGTGAAGCAAGTCAACCGGAGAAGGTCAATCATTATATGGGTTCACTCATATGGGGAATATAAAAAATAGTGAAAGGGATTATAGACGAAAGGAGGGGAACAGAGTGGGAAAAAATAGAGAGAGAGAGACAAACCATGAGAGACTCCTAACTCTGGGAAATGAACAAGGGGTAGTGGAAGGGGAGGTGGGCGGGGGGGTTGGGGTGACTGGGTGACGGGCGCTGAGGGGATGAGCACTGGGTGTTATACTGTGTGTTGGCAAATCGAACTGCAATAAAAAACTATACAAAAAGAAATAAATAAAGCACCTGCCATGGTGACCGGCCCAGAATAGGTGCCCAGCAAACAGGAGCTGCCATTCTGAACGCTTCTCTCAGCGTGATTATTCGTGCTGCCACTAGCACACCCCGCCCCATCCCTGCCTGCCCTGCAAATGTGTTGTGTGTGCCACGGGGGCCAGAGTGAGACTGGCTTAGTTAAAGGGTGAGCACAGCTTCCGTGGCTGTCACGGCGACGCCCCTCCCTCCCAGAGGCTGGGGACTGCCTTCCCTCCGCAGGTGTGGCCGACCTCAGCTTTGAGGCCGAGAGTCCTCTGGCGCCCCCGGCTGAGCTCCTGGACAGACTGCCCAGCTATGACTGGCTTCTGCAAGGAGGTGGTAAGTCGGCGAGCGCCTGGCTCTGCAGCCTCTTCCTGGGGCCTGGGCTGGTTGGGGAGACCTCTCTGGAACGGGCCAGGCCGGGACAGCTCTCGCGTCTCCCCTGGGCGGGGAGGGTCCTGGGAAACCTCTTGTCACCATGGGGGGCGGGGGAGTGGGACGACTCTGTGTCCACGAACATTCCGTGACCATATCCTCGTCCTTTAAGACTGGGATCGGATCATGCAGGTGTGAGAACCATTCTTCTCGCATTAGGTGCCTTGGCATGTGGGACTCGTTCCCTTTGTCCCGTCCAGCCGCACATTCAGCCTGTCTTTCCTTCTTTCACGGCAAAAATGCCTGTGCCTTTGAGCTAGGCCGTTGAGCCCCGGACTCCTCTCTCCCCCAGGTCGGCAGATATTCTTTCCACCTTTGGAGGCTCCCGGGAGACCCCTGGACCAAAGGTGCTGGTCCTCATTCATGGAACTCAGGTGAGCTGCAGCGAGTGCCGCCACAGAGGATCGTATGTGGTGACCCTCGCGTCACCGTTACCCCCCCTCCCCAGAGCCCCTCCTTGGGGATTTTAGGGTCTACGGATCTCAATCCTGACAGTGCATCGGGATGCCACACCTACTGGACCGGATTCTCCAGGGACGGGGGCCAGGAAGGTGGATTTTACCAAGCTCTTCAGGCTGTTTGGCTACCAGGCTGGGGTTGAGAACCACGGTGTCGACCAGGGGCTGTCCTAATCCAACCCACTGCCCGTTTTTGTAATTCGAGCCATGCTCATTTGTTTACTGACTGTCGCTGCTTTTGTACCACATGAGCCGAAGTGAGTGATTGAGGCCGAGACTGTATGGCTCATGAAGCCTACGATATTTACTGTCGAGTCCTTTAGAGAAGCTTGCTGACACCCAGGCCCAGGACTCTGGGCGGAGCTCCGGCTTCCCAGCCGGCTTGGTGCGGAGAGGAGGTGCAGGCCCGCATTCTGGGTCCAGCCTGCTGGCTGGCTGTGTCCTGCCTTCAAGGGGTCTCCTGGCTGCTGCTGCCCCGCTGCTGCCCGCAGCGCCTCCCCTTCTCCTCCCTGGCCGCCCATCTTCCGTGCCCAGGGCAGACCCCACTTCCTCCGTGGAGCACTCTTGGCCATTCCGGGCCCACACCTCCTGGGGTGCATGCACGCAGGCCCCTCTGTGCGCAGGCAGGGGTGCTGGAGACATCGCTGTGCCTGAGACGGGCGTTTGGAGTGGGGCTGCTGCGGGGAAAGAAGTAAAAGAAGATGTGAGGGAGGAGGAAGGAGGAGAGGATTCCTGCTTCCTGGAGGTGTTGGCAGGGGGGGACTTCGCTAGGAGGGGACATGGCAGCTGGGCCTGGGCGGAGGGTTTTCTAGGAGGAGGGGGAGGCATCCAGGGAGACTGCCAAGGAAGGGGCCTTTGCTGCTGCCTTCACAGCCACTGCCGCTGCGGCCCACCGTGCTCTGTGTCGGCACCGCAGTCAGGTAGCTCCTGGCTGGGGTCTTCCGGTGGGCACTGCTCACAGCTCCTGCCCGAGGTCAAGGTCTCCAAGGGCAGGAACGTGGTCTAGCCTAACTTTGCCTCCTCCTGGCTGTGTGACATCTTCTGCAGACCTCAGTTTTCCCCGTCTATAAAATGGCATAATTCATCTTCAAAATGTGAGTGTGTGTGTGTGTGTGTGTGTGTATGTGTGTGTTTGGGTTCAAGATTCAGCCCTTCCCGTGAGCCCCGCGCTTGAGCTCATGCAGTTTTGCTGTCCTCTAGAAGGAGCTACTGTGCTCCCACCGCGGGCATGGGTTCACACAGCCCCCCGGGGCCAGAGCTGCCGTCCCCGGGGGGAGCCCCGGGAGCTTCATGAGTGTGATGGGCCGCGGCCGGGCCCTTCCCTTTCTCCCGGCCTCATCTGCATCCAGAGATGCTGGCTGGCCCTTTCCAGAGACCCTCCCTCTGTGCTCTGTCCCCAGCAGAGTCCCCACGGTGACAGAGGAAGTGGCTCGTGAAGCCCTCCTCAGCTTTGTGAGCTCCAAATGCTGCTATGGCAGCGCGGCCGCCGGGGACCTCGTCATCCAGGAGCTCAAGCAGCAGACCCTCTGCAGGGTAAGGGGGCCTGGGCCTGGCGGGCCCCTGGGGGCAGCCTCTGTGATGTCAAACGGGTGCAAGGAGTCTTGGGGGGCGGTGTCTATGAATAGTGGTGACGCTGAAGCCCTTGTTGGTCTGTAGCTGCTGAAAAGCTGGAATGTGCTGGCCATCGTGGGGAGCACGTTACATGTATGTCTTACGAAGTCCTCAGGGGCGACCCCACGTGGTGGCTATTACGGTCACCAGTTCAAGGGCAGGAGCTGCAAGTTTAGAGGGGTAAGGCCACTTGCCCCAAACACACAGCTAGAAGTGACAGGGCTGGGACTCTCTTGCTGGTACCAAAGTCCATGTCCTGAAACACATGACTAACCCGCCTCCAGGAGTGGTGGGCCGAGAAAGCTCCGTCCACTCCCTTGATCCCCCAAGTCACATCTGTGCCAACGAATCATTTCATCATCCCCCTGGGCCTGCAGCTCCAGGGAAATCCTCTGTCTGGTACTGAGACCATGCAGGTACCTATGTCACCTTTTGCATTGACAGGGCCAAGGGGACAGATTTAAAACTCCTATTTTCTAGTGTCACTGGCACAGCCACCCTCTGGTGAGAGGTCAGAGTGGGAGGCTGGGGGAGGAGGCTCCTGTGTCGCTGTGTGACCTGGGGCGAGTCCCCTGGCCTCTCTGAGCCTCTGTTTCCTCCAGTGTCAAAGGAGGAGCCAGCTGATGTCCAAGATCCGTCACTGTTTTGTGATTTTTGTGGATGCGCTCAAGAAGGAGGCTCTTGACATCAGGTGGAAAAATTCCTGCAAAGAGGATGCTCGGAGAAGCAGATTCCATCGGCCTCCATCTGTCAAAGAGCAATTGCTGCTCCACAGCTTGCTTTGTAGAACACTTCTGGGTAAAAAGAAATGGGGGGCTGACATCGCCCCAGCTGTGAGCCCGTCAGGAGAGATTTCCTGTGGCTGACTGATCTCCCTGCTTGTCTGGGGGCATCTGGAGCAGAGATCCCTGGTGCAGTCTTGTTTCAGCAGCTGGTGGCGCTGGCAGGGGGCCTTCCAGTTTCCCCTCCGAGCCTCGGCAGGGGGGAAGCGTCCTCTTTCTGTGGCATGCTGTCTTCCTAAAGGGCATGAGCGTGAACATGCTGGTTTGTTTTTTCCTCTGTAGTATCGACTAGAGACTTTTAGCGAATCAAGGATAAGCGAATGGACATTTCAACCCTTTACTAGTAAGTGAATTCAGTTTAACTGGGAGCAAATCTGACAGGGGCTGGTGGAAAATATCAGGACACGTCTTAGCCACTAACCCTGAATAAGGTGCTCTTCTGCGTGCAGCCTCGGTCTCCCCATTCCCTGTGAAATGAGCGGGTGGGCTTTCATCTCGGGCTTTCCAGTGCTGATCTCAGCAAATCCTTCCTGTCCGGAAAGCGGTTTGCAGGAGGACCTAAAAAAGTCTAGTGTTTGCCTTTGGCCACAGACTGGTGCCGCCTGGCCACAGACAAAGGCAGTGTGTGTGCCTGGGCATCTGCCTGCCTTGGAGGCCGCCCTCAGTGTCTCCCAGAGTCCCTAGGACCCTGTTCGCTGTGCCATCCCACCTGCTGCTGAACCCCACTGGAGGCTGAGGGTTCCCTCTGGGAAGCCCTAAGGCCTTCCTTTTCTGCTGACATCTCTGGTTCATCCTTCAAGACTCAGCAGCTGTGCCACCTCTTTTTTTTTTTTTTAAGATTTATTTATCCATGAGAGACACTGAGAGAGGGGCAGAGACATAGGCAGAGGGAGAAGCAGGCTTCCTGCAGGAAGCCCGATGGGGGACTCGATCCCAGAACCCTGGGATCAGGACCTGAGCCGAAGGCAGATGCTCAGCCACTGAGCCACCCAGGTGCCCCCTGTGTCACCTCTTTTATGAAGCCCTTCAGGATTTCTTTACCTGCTGACCCCATCCTCAATAGAAGGAGTCAGTCTTCTGGGCTTTCAGAGCATTCATGCAGCTCTTATCCAAAGTACTCCACATATCCCATGACGTTGTGTCGTGGTTGTAGCTGTGCCGCACCTCCTTGAACGGAGGGGTGGGGAGGACGAGGAAGGGGAAGGAGGTGGGGATGGTCACAGTTGTGATGGTGGTTCTTGTTATTGATCTGTCTCACGGGCCAGCCCTGTGCTAAGCATTTCTATGCCTTCTATTTAATTTTCACTACCATCCTATCTGGTAGGTAGGTGCCATCTATTTTCTCATTTTGGAGGTGAGAGAGTTTAAGGTCGGAGAGGTAAAATAACTTGTCTGGAGTCACGCAGCTAGGAAGAGGAAGAGTCAGGAGTCAGACTAGGTCTGCTCAGTTCCAACACCTGGGTGCTTAACCATGGACTCCGAGGGGCCCCTTGTCTACCCGTCCCTTGGCCCAGCATCTTGCCTAGTGCCTGGCATCAAGTGAAGGCTCTATACTATTTGGTAGATAAATGAAAGCTTGCCCTTGCAGCTGTTCACTGGCCTTACAATGATCCCTTTCTGTGTCAGACCAGTCAGTGGATGGGCCACAAAGAGGGACCTCCCCCAGACTGTGGGACATCAGGGTCCAGGTCCCCCCGATGTTTCATGAAGACACGAGGAAGTTCCAAGTCCCTCACTCGTCAGTGGTCAAGGTAACATGATTGTTGGCGTCTTTGCCCTTCTCTCTGAGCCGGTTTCCCAGACACTACATATTTCCTCAAACCTTTTCTTTTTAGAAAGGAAAGCCAGAATGCAGACCGCTGGTTCATGCTGTGGCTATCCATAAGGCGAATTCTAAGGAACCCCAGAGCATGGAATATAGACCCACACAAAATTCCATGCAAATTAGGGAGTAGTCACATAGCGAAGGGATGATTCCATTTACCAAACTGTCACCAGCTTTAAACAGTAAGTGTTCACATTCCTAAGACCATCTGAGTGTTTTAAATTTATTTTTGTTTTTTATTTTTGCCTGACAGTAAACAGCTGAAGTGCTGAATGAAATGGATATAAAGCAAATCTCAAACATTATTTGGATTTTCAGTAAAGGGACAGAGTTTGACTTCTATCCCATCTTATGGAAGTATAATCACGACACGAAGTGAGGCTGGTCTAATGTATCACAAAACCTCAGATGAGAAACTTCCTATTATGTTCTCATCTTCACTGTAGAACTTGATCAAGTATGTAACTTTCCCCTAGAGTTTTCATAGCATCATGTGATGACGAGAACTTTGAGAGGTCAAGAGAGGGTTCTATTCTTTTCTCAGGAGTGGAAAAGCTGTTTTGATTCAGGGATTAGATTGCAATAGCTCGTTCTTTGCCTTTCACAGAAATGCTGTGCATTTTTTATGATTTCTATTCCCAAAGACCTCTTAGCTGCCCAATGGGCCGAGGACACCAGCCTTTGTGGTTTAGCCTGGGAACATGAGTTAGGACATGGAGCTTGGAGAACAGACTGGGCTGGGGCCCTCAGGAAATGGTAACATGATCTCCTTGGCTTGGCATTCAAGGCCCTTTGGAATCCTAGTCAAGTGAGAATGGCCATCATGCTGGGCCTGAACGGCTGTACCTATGTTTGGACTGGTGATGCCATGGGGTGGGTGTGGGGCTGCTGACATCAGGAGGCCTTGGTGCTTGGGAGACTGGAGCCAAGGAGGGCTTCTCACTTTCAGGAATGTCACAAATGCCATGGGCGTGGGCGCTACAAGTGCAGCGGCTGCCATGGGGCTGGCATGGTGAGTCCTGTGGCTGCTGGTGAATTAATGATTGTGTAGGAGGAGGGGCCCTGTGGGGATGGAGGGTTGGGCTGGGGGCCTGGGGCTCCCCCACTAACAGTGTGACCTGAGGCGAGTCATCCTCCCTTTCTGGGCCTCCATTTGCTCACCTGTAAAATGGGCAAGTTGGATTGGCTGTTTGCTACTGGCCTTTGTTCCCTTGGATGGTTTATGGTTCATGATTTTAATTCTTCTCTCTTTTTCTCATTTGTCTGCAAACATTCCCTGAGACTGAGCACTCGCTCAGTGCTGGGCCCTATAAGAGGACTCAGAGCTGAGGGTCTTCCCAGCAGGGACCCTCTGTCCTGGGGAAGACCGACAAGTGACCAGCACATGTAGTAAGCGGTGATGAGCCTGAGGTGAAGTTCAGAGGGCTTCGAGGGGCAGAATGCATGGGGACCTTGTGTTAGTGCCCTATGGCTACCGGGGGGCTTAAAACGATTGATATTTCTTCTCTCACATTCTGGAGGCTGGAAGGCTAAAATCAAGAGGTCAGCAGGGTTGGTTCTCTTGGGAGACCCCGAGCCACATTCCTAGTGCCTGGCAGCCACTCCTGACCCTCGGCTCCCCACTCCATCCTCTGCCTCTCTTGTCCCGGGCCTTCTCCCGACGTGTGTCCCAGGTCTCCTCAGGCCTTCTGCTGAGGGCACCAGGCTCCGGATCTAGGGCTCACCCTCGTCCAGCATGACCTCATCTTAACTAATGACATCTGCCAGGACTAATTCCAAACAAGGGCAATTCTGAGGTTCTGGTGGGTGTAAATGTCGTGGTTGGGGGTGGAGGGAGCCGGTCTTCAACCTAGTACAGGTCCCTACGTGCACAGCCAGGCCCTGGCGCCATCAGGCTTCTCTTCAGAAAACTTCAAGGCTGCTGACGCTCCCGGGAGTGAGACCATGCTCCTCAGGTGTCCTCAGCTCTCTCCTTTCGCTCTGATCTTTTGGACACATATTGACCAGTCGCCACGCTAAGCCATGCCCTCCCCATCCTTCTCTCTGCCCACCTTCCATCTGCTGCGTGCATTCCTTTGGCTACTCACATGCCACCTATGGGGCCCACCTATGGCTCGTCCCGCCCCCTGTCTCCTGTACCCTCACTCCCGCCATATGCCTCCTCTCGGCCTTCCTGGAGCCCCTCCCTGCGGTCTTTATACTTTCTCCCTCCACCCCTGCTCCTCAGGCTTTCCCTGCAATGTCTCCAGAGTCCACTCTTGGAAAGCCTGGAGGCCTTTCCAAGACAGAACTCCCCATCCCCAGCTCAGCCAGCCTGCCCCCGTTCTGAGTCTGTCTGGCCGTGGCTGTTTGGTCAGGGTGCACTCTCAGGGGTCATGGGGAATCAGAGAGGAGTAGGGGAAGATGGTGTCTCAGGAGAAACACAGATGTGTGGATGTAGCATCTTTGAAGGCTACAGCTGGAGGGGCCCAGAGGTGCACAACGTCCACCTTTCCCATCTTACAGATGAAGGAACTGAGGCCCAGGGAGAGGAAGTGGCTTGTTCAGGGTCACCAGGTTGGGATTTGAACCGAGTCTCCAGATGCCCTTTGCCCCTCTTCCCTGGGAGGCCGGCAGGGCTGAGGCTGTGCTGTGTCCGCAGGTGAGATGCTCCTCCTGCAGCGGAGCCAAGCGCAAAGCCAAGCAGTCCCGGAGGTGTCAGATGTGCTCAGGGTCTGGCAGGCGGAGGTAGGAGTGGGTCTCCCCAGCGCTGAGCTGACGAGCTCTCACTTCCGGGCCTTCTTGCTTTTCACTGTCTGCTCCTCCGGAGGGAAGTCAGGTGCCCTGTCTTGTCGCTCTTATGCCCCAGGGTGCTGTGCCTGGTAGGTGCTCAGTAAATATTTGTGGAGTGGGTGAGCTTTCCTCCAGGCTTGCTATTTCGAGAGGAGACTAGACCTCGTCCAGCAGTCTAGGGGCCAGATGTAAGGAACGAGGCACTGCTGAGAGGAAGGGAAGGGGTGCTTTAAGGAGGAGAGACTGCACATGTGGTGGGAAATGAACACAGAAAACCACCCAAAGGTGAGACCTGTAACCCTCTGAGGATCAGGACCGAGGCAAACCCTTATTTATAACTCATTGTGGGGCCTGAGTGGAGACATCAAGGAAGGTTGGTTGATTGACTAAACAATCAACAAAGTTCCATCTCTCTTCACAGGGCTTTGCAAATAGTGGGTTATTGCATTTTGTAAATCGTGTCCTTAATGTATTTATTTATAAATCGTTAGAGGGAAACAGGAAACCATGAGGAGTGAGACTATTCAAAGTTGTGTTGGTTGATGATACCTTTGATTCATTTTGACCCAGGCCATCCTTCTAAGAAGCCAGAGAGCAAAGCTTTGGCAGACCTGCCACCTGTGGTTGGTAAAGAAGGTCTTTGATTTGGAGAGAAGCTCAGCTTTTTTTTTTTTTTTTGTTTACAAGTCAAAGAATCCTATTTCAAATGCGCTTAACAAAAAATTCTGCCCTTGGAACAGAAAAGTCCAGGATTATATTTCTGGGATGGCTTCAGGTACAGCTGGATCCAGGTGCTTAAACAAAGTCACCAGGACTCTGTCTCCATCCCTCATCCTGCTTTTCTTTGTGTTGGCTTCATTCTTAGGCATGCTGTCTCTTGTGGTGACAGAGGGGACAACCAATAACTCCAAGCTTCGTTACCTCAATAGATGAGGATGTCCCTTTCCTGATAGTTTCTAACAAAGTTCTAGGGCAGATCTCATTGCACTCACCTGAGTGCACTCATGTATGCTCATCTTTGCATCAGCCACTGTGGCCAGACAGATGGAATAAGCTGATTGGCCAAACCCAGGTCCCAGGCCGGTCACAGAAGGGGTGGTCACAGAGCCCACAATCTGTATGGTCAGGGTGGGAAAAGGGTGGTCTTCGAAGGGACACAGGGGCATTGCCACCAGAAGCAGGAGGTCGAGATGGTGGGCAGGTGGAAGCAACTGATGCTGACCTCAGTCCACCTCTATGAGGGAGGATTTGGGGTGAGCCCTCGAGAAGCCACCAGGATGCCGCGCTGTTTGAGTGGTGCTGACCATGTGCCCCCCTCAGGTGCAGCACATGCTCAGGGAGGGGAAACAAGACCTGCGCCACCTGCAAGGGGGAGAAGAAACTGCTGCACTTCATCCAGCTGGTCATCATGTGGTATGTGGCAGCGTCTCAGCACTGTGGCCTGATGGGGGTCCCTGGGGGACATGGCCCGGACTGGTTTCTGCGGAGAACTCCAGGTGGTTGGGGCTTTCCTGGTCCAGGGACTCGTGCCGGGAGAAGAGGGCTTCAGGCACCTTGGGAAGAGGAGAGGTCCCTGGGAAAGGGGGTCGGGTGGCTGGATGCTGGCGGGCTTTACAACAGACAGACCTGGGTTCAAATTCTGACATCGCCACTTTCTAGTGCAGCAGGCACTCGAGGCCTGGGCCGTCTCTTCTGGAACAGAGTCCCTGTGTCGTAAATGCCCCCATCAGGGAAGGCTCCCGTGCATGATGGGTTTGTCCTGTGGGCACCGTGCTAATAAGCACCTCGCAGCTGAGGACAAAATGAGGCGCTAGAACAGGACTGTCAGGACTCCAGCGGTTTGCCATTTTACAGATGAGGGTGCTAAAGAGCTTTCCCGAGGCCCCAGCAGTAGTAATGCAAGCCCTCCAGCCCGGCACTGATTCCAAACCTCTGTTCTTAACCCAACGTGCCATGTGCTCTGCTCCTCATGCTCGTCAACTCCAGGAAGAACAGCCTGTTTGAGTTTGTGTCTGAGCACCGACTGAATTGCCCTGGGGAGCTCCTTGCTAAAGCCAAAGGAGAAAGCCTCTTTAAGGATGAAAACACCACGGTAAGGGGGGCTTTGAACCATCACGAAGGAAGCTGGGTTCCTCCTCCCTCCTCCTCCTCCCCTCCTGGAGGGCTGCATCCTCATGGGAAGACCGGCTGGGTGGGAACAGAGGGGCTGAGCAGGGGAGAGCCTGCTGGGACCCCGCGGGGCCAGTTCTCTGCCCACCCCCTTCCTTCCTCCCTCCACACCCTGACACAAAGCTCGAGACCCTCCTCTCCTAGCAGGCGCTATTCTGGGGATAGTGCCCTGGGGATACCGTAAAACAGAACCCTCGCCCAGGTCGATCTCATAGTCTGGTGAAGGGAGAAGGTAATCATGTCTTGCCCTCATGTCAGAGAGTGGTTAGGGTCACCGAAAACATGCCAGCAGGGTAAAGAGACAGGAGTGGGTGGGGTTTCGGGGGGGGGCTGGGAGGTGACCCTGGGCAAAGACTGGAACAATGTGTAGTGGGGGCGTGGACCCTGTGGACTCTGGAGCCAAGGTGTCCAGCAGAGGGAGCAGCACAGGGCAGTGGGACAGGAGGGATGTGGGTTGTGCAGAGTAAGGAGCTAAGACATGAGAGGTGCCAGCGGCCAGATCGGGGGGTCCTGCAGGGTAGAGGTTGGCAAACTCTGGCCCTTGGCCTGCTTTTATAAATAAAGTGTTATTGAAACACAGCCATGCCTGTTTGTTGACATATGTCTGTGACTGCCTCCCCGCTGCAAGGGCAGAGTCAAGGAGTTGAGACAGAGACCCGATGGCCCACAAAGCCTAAAATAGTTACTATGTGGCCTTATACAGAAGAGATTTGCCAACCTCTGCTGTAGGCCTTGGCAGGAAACTTGGCCTTTATGGGACGTCTGAGAGGGCTTGTTTTCTCTGAGAGGGCCAGGTGCTCAGCCTCCTTTTCTCTCTCTCTCTTTTTTTTTTTTTTTTTACAGTAAGTAGCCTTTTCAGATTGGCTTTTTTCCCCTCACTTTATAGCATGTATATTTAAAAATCGAGGCATAATTGACATACACCGTATTAGTTTCAGGTGTACAACACAGTGATTCGATATTTGTGTTGTGAAATGATCACCACAATGTCTAGTTAACATCTCTCAGCACATAGTTACGATTTTTAGTTTCTTATGATGAGGACTTTTAGGATCTGGTCCCTTAGCAGCTTTCAAATATACAACACAGTATTATTAAGTAGAGTCACCAGGATGTACGGCACATCCCCGGGACTGACCGACTTTATAACTAAGTTTGTACCTTTCCACCACCTTCTCCCCTACGACCACCAATCTGTCTTTGTACCTGTGAGTTTGTTTTCTAGATTCAGCATAGAGATCCTACAGTATTTGTCTTTCTCTGATTTATGGCCTTTAGCACAATGGCCTCAGTGTCCATCCATGTTGTCACAAAGGACAAGGTTTCCTTCTTTTTTATGGTGGAATAGTAATTCTCAGACTCCTTCCTTTGCCCCAAATCAGTGTGGCTTCCTAAAGGCCCAGCTCAGGCATCGGCCCCTCAGGAAGCACCCCCTGCCCGCCCCAAGCCTGAGTCAGACGGCAGCAGGGGGGTGCAGGTAGAGGAGTCATCTCTGCCCACAGCCCCCCTTTCTTGGTTGGAATGCCCGAGGCGGGCAGGTGCCTAATCAAAGTCCCCTGGAGGTTAAACACTGAGTGGCCTCGGGCCCTTTCCTGTCTGTGCTCGTGTTCCTGCCCCCTGTGAATCAGAGCTGCAAGGCTTCAGGTGCTGACACCTTGGGTCAGGGCAGCGAGGCGACTGCATCTCTCCGGCAGGTGTACCCCATTGTGGATTTCCCGCTGCGGGAGATCTCTCTGGCTTCCCAGAGGGGCATTGCGGAGCACAGCGCTGCCCTGGCCTCCCGGGCCCGAGTCCTGCAGCAGGTGAGTGGGGTGGGGGCTGGGGGCCGTTGGGAGACTTCTGGGGCCGGCCCTCTGGTCCTATGAAGGAGGGCATGGGCTGTTCCCTCTGCTGGGGGGCCCCTTCCAGAGGAGGGAGGGAGGCGTCGGCTAGGGGAAGGGTGGCGGAAAGGAGCCCCGGTTTAGGAAGCGGAGAGAGCAGAGCAGTGTGGGGCCTCAGGGGCAGGTGGGACCCCTGGACATAGAGAGCAGGATTCTTATCCTGAGCAACTGGAAGCTATCGTAGGGTTTCAGGCAGGACCTTGGCTCAGCATGAGTTCGACTCTAACCCCGTGGGTTAGCATCTTCAGAGAGGGGGAAGCAAAGTGCAAGCCTCGGGGTGGTAGGCAAGTCTGGAGCCCCAAGTCCTGCCCCTGGGAGCACTTTGCAAATCCCAGGCGTCTCCAGGCTGAGATGGCTTCCAGGGAAGGGTTGCTCCGGTGCTGTGCAGGGAGGCCCACTAGGTGGCGGCGTTGCTTTGCGGCTTTGAGTGGTCACGGCTGCAGGTGTCTGGGGGACCGGGGGTGGGGGAGAGGGGTTGGCCAGGGAATGGCTTATATGTGGCCTTATACAGAAGAGATTTGCCAACCTCTGCTGTAGGCCTTGGCAGGAAACTTGGCCTTTATGGGACGTCTGAGAGGGCTTGTTTTCTCTGAGAGGGCCAGGTGCTCAGCCTCCTTTTCTCTCTCTCTCTTTTTTTTTTTTTTTTTTTACAGTAAGTAGCCTTTTCAGATTGGCTTTTTTCCCCTCACTTTATAGCATGTATATTTAAAAATCGAGGCATAATAGAGGAGGTAGAGATGACTCCTCTACCTCTACCAGGCTTATATCCTGGTTCTCCTGTGTCTCAACGTGGTCGTAGCCCAGCTACTTCTTCCCTGAAGTCCGATTTCTCATGAGTGCAAAGGAGACGCTGGCACCACCTCAGGGTTTGCTAGAGATGCAATAATTTGCTTTGGAACCTGGTGTTCAAAATGCCCCTTTTCCTTCTGGTCCCTTTGCAACGAGTACTTCCCCTTCTCTCTCTGCACATCTCCCCTGTTTGCAGGAGAGAAAAAGATACATTTAATTAAAAAGTAATGATGCCCCTCTTGGAGCTGTAGTGGGCCTCAGAAATCATGGGTGGGAGAGCCTCCCTATCCAGAGGGGTGGGCCACCACTCATCTTCTGCATCGGCACAGGGGCAGAGATTTCAGATCTTCTAAAAAACCTGATTTTTATATGAAACTTTCTAATTTTTCCATATTGAGAACAAAAGTTTAAAAATGCTAGGAATGGGATCCCTGGGTGGCGCAGCGGTTTAGCGCCTGCCTTTGGCCCAGGGTGTAATCCTGGAGACCCGGGATCGAGTCCCATGTCGGGCTCCCCGTGCATGGAGCCTGCTTCTCCCTCTGTCTATGTCTCTGCCTCTCTCTCTCTCACTGTGTGCCTATCATAAATTAAAAAAAAAAAAAGCTAGCTGAAAAAAAAATGCTAGGAATACTGTATGTGCTGATGGGTTGGCTCTGGCCTGTGGGCTATTGTCGGCTACCCCTGCCTAGCCCAAACCCATGAGTCTCCCAGTAAATCAGAGGAAGCTCAGAGAGTAGAAGTAATTCACTTAAAGTCACACAGCTTCTTGGTGGAAGAGCCCAGGAGCAGAACCCACTTCCCTAGTGCCAAGCCTAAGGTGATTACTCACTGCATTCAAGATACGTAACTCCTTCAAAGCCAGTGCTGGTTTATTGGGATATGTCAGCTGACAGGGATTTGGGGCCAGAAACTGCAGGGACAGCTCATTTACCAGGGTAGCACCTGCTTGCCAGCTCTGGCGCATGACTCATGACCCCAAGTCACGCTCTTGCCCTCTAAGGACCTCAATGTCCTCATCTTTAAAATGAGCTGGATTGGACATTGCCTTAGATTGGGGTCTGCAGAAGCAGCTTCGAGATGAGAGCTTGTGTGCAGGACATTTATCAAGAAAGGGCTCCCAGGAGAAAAAGCCTGTAAAGGAGTAGGGGAGCCAGAGCCGGAGGGGCAGGGGTCACACAAGGGCACAGTGTGGCAAGGGATCAGTGACTGCCGCATCCCATCGGAGTTCTGAGCACCGGTTACACCTCAGCAACCGTGTGCCCGCAGATGAGGGAGCTGGCCTTTTGTTGTTTGGCACCATCCAATCATCGGGCACAACTTCCAAGGCACTTTGTGCTCCTGTGTGCGAGGGTTCTGTATCCAAGGACAGGACCCCGAGGAAGAGCGATGGGCTGTGAGTGGCAGAGAAACAGCAGATTTGTGGGAACACGGGGGAGACGAGAACATTGTCCATGGAAGCCCCCAGAGCATCGTCCCTGGGGGACTTTGCTCTTGCCTCACTAGTATTAATGGTGTGGGTCACACGAAGAGCCCCCAGTATTGAGGTACGTACTCTGGGAAGGGGAAGAAGATAAGGGCCCAAGTTCAGCAGCTCGCAGACACTCGTGGTTATTCTGAGCCTCTTTGACTTCGGAGACTGACAAGTTGAGTCCTTTTTGGGTCCTTGATGTGGGAGCTGGGAAAACTGAGGCCTGCAGAGGGGGAGTGAGCTGCCTGAGATCACGCAGTGTCGGTGGCAGGCCCGATGTCCCCAGGCTTCCCCCTGGGGAGTACATCCCCTATAGCGCAGTCCTGACTTGGGCAACACAGGCCCCTGGGAACCAGTCCCGGAGGCGGGAAGGGTAAACCCGGGGCAGGTGGACATCTCAGAGCAGCGCGAGCAACGGGCTCTTTGGTGAACCTTTTTGGTCCTGCCTCTGTAGGCAAAGATCACTCTGCTCAGGAGTGAGAAGTTAGCGAGTGGAGTCAGCCGGAGACATGCCTGTCACGACACGGTGCCCCCGCCATGGCTCTCAGACCTGGAAACTGCTGGTCCTGGGGTCATGGCCAAGGTGTGCATGCACACAGATCCGTGGCTGATCACAAGGCAGCCACTCGATGGCAGCTGATGTCCCAACCAATCTGTAGCCTCAGACCCGGAGGCCTTTCTAAAAATTAAATTAAATTAAAAAAATTTTTTTTCTGGAGGCCTTTTGGATCAGAAGCAAATGGAGGCAGGAAGGGAGTGGTATGGCTATTGCTTCCTGTTTGATCCTGGTAGAAAAGCCTGGAAACGAGAGTGATCCTGACCCGTCTGCCCAGGCGTTTGGAGCAGGGACGTGGGCTCCCACCTTCTCTTGTCTCCTGGTCCCCATTTCATGTCCTCTATAACAAAATGTCGCAGAGGGGTCTTCTATCTGTGATTTCCAAAATTATCACTTAGAGACCACTTTCTGGCATACAGGAGGTCTCCGGGTCTTCTCTGGTTATCTCAGCAGCTCTGTGGCATAGAAGCCTTGATCCCCATTTCCTAGAAAAAGCAAGTACGAGATCACTCAGGGAACTTCATGGAAGACACCGAGTCCCCTCTTCCGGCCACAATGTCGCATTGCCCTTTGGCTGTCCCTCCAGTGGAGTGAGGAACCCCGCTTCTCAAAATCCGCACTCTGGCCTGTTTCCCCTTCTCCGGCGGCCCCTGGACCGTCACCCACAGAGTGAGGGGACTTGGAACGGTCCCCAAGGAGTGGAACTTCCTGAAATTCCCAAAAAGGACCCAGCCCTGGGCTGTCCACACCACCTCCCCCTGGGTTTGGGAACCCTTAAATGTGAGTCTGGGACAAAGAAGCATCTTGTGCGGAAGAACTTTGGGGGCTTTGGCGCAGAGCCTGGACCACGGTACATCCCCAAGGAAGCTTAGCTTCAGTGACTAGGAATAACTTTCCTACATTAGCTGTGTGCAGCTGCCCTTAACCAAGCAGCATCCAAAGCTGATGGAGGTGGGTGTCTTAGTAGTGTCACCTCCATTCCATTCACGGCCCCACAATTTTGGGAGGTAGTAGAGCAAGTGCTCAGAGCAGGGGTGGGGACATGAGGGGCTTTAGGACCACTCTGCTGGTGGAGTGAGCCCCCAGGCTCTTAGGTACAGGGTGGTGCTGGGAGGGGATTTGAGCATTAACCCCCTGGGGCTTGACCTGAATCATCTTCCAAACCTGAAATTCCAAGAGCCTGCAGGCCTCAGTTTCCCTGTTTCTAAAAGAAAGGGAGGATTTGAGAAAGGTCTCTCTTGAAGTAAGGTCAGTGCAAGAGTGTGTTGAGGGAGGGTCCTGAGAAAGAAGCCTGAGGCAGACCACCAGACTTTGGAATTTCTTTAGTGTCAGTGTTTTACCTTAAAATTTCATTCAAATTGTATAATCTACTCCCTAATATCTCCATGGCTGTTTTAATATAGAAACGCTTAAAATGACTTCATCTTCCACCTTTCTCTGCCCTTCCTCCCCATCTAAAAACTAATGCTTCTGAAAGATGTCCTGTTTGGCTGGTGGGTTTCCATACATCCTGGGACTCCCCCGGGGAAAGCTGTACCCTCCCTCTGTGACACATGGAATCAGATGGTGGTGAAAGCTGAGAAGTTAGTCTGGACCAGAGCTTAGTGTGTGTGAAGAAGTATAATAGGAGAGACACCTAGAAGGGCACATGGGAGCCAAAAGGCCAACTCCAGAGTGTGAACTTCATCCCACAGGTAGTAGGGAGCTACTGGAGGTTCTTGAGCAGGCAAGTGACTTGAATAGAACACCGAAGTTTTTCTTGCCCAATTGTCTCCCCAGCGCCAGACCATCGAGCTGATCCCCCTCACAGAAGTTCATTACTGGTACCAAGGACAGACTTATGTCTACTACATCTATGGCACTGACCACAGGGTGTATGTGGTGGACTACCCTGAGCGGTACTGCTGTGGCTGCACCATCATCTGACATGGCTCAGCTATCTCCAGAGCCTGCACTCTTGTTCCCCAAGGAGGACAAATGAGGTCCCCGAGTGACTGGCTACATTGGACGATCATATACAAATCCCAGTGTGTCCTTCTAGACAGTTCAACGTATCACCTGTCAAGCTTTCCAGAGCTCATCTAGAGGAATCCATCATCATGTGTTTAACCTACGAGAATCCAGCTACACACATTTCTTTAGAACAGATAATTTAAGCGGCCCCTGGTCTCCCAAGCTTTCGCCCCGATGGAGCGTGTGGTTTGATTTTGCCTCTCCCTTTAGCTTGCTCAGTTCTGCGGGGCCACTGCTAGGGTGAGCCTTTTGCCAAGCTGAGCGTTATTCAGATGTTCAAAGATATCCTACAAACCGGCTGCCTCTTAATGTGTCCCGAAGAGTGCTCTAAGGCATCAAGAACAAAGCCCTCCCCCCACCCCCCACCCCCCCTCCCCGCTCTGTGGGTTAGGATTTCAGATACACAGTGGAGATAATTTATGTCTGGCTCTGTGATATCTGGGATCTCACCTGGAAGGCTGGGTGGGCTCTGGAGCAGGTGGGGGCAGCTGAGGTTATTGGTGGGAGGCCGGTTCACCCTGAGGTCTGGCCGTGGATAGTGGCTGCTGGCTGGGACACCGGCAAGCCACCTCTCCATGCAGCCTGGGCTCCTCCCCCTGGGGCGGTTCTGAGGGGCAGTGGCCGTCCTGCACAGCCAACTGAAGAAACAGATGTGTTTCCCAGCTGGAGAAGAGAGCGGCTGAGTTGGATGGGCTGAAGGTCTGCGTGCTGGCATCTAACATGTTGCCTCTGCAAGGGGAGGTTCTGGAGAGCGATTCTGGATACACGTTGGTTCTTCACGTGCCAACCTTAGAACCTGCACATCAGTGGGACGTGAACTGGGTGTCCTGTGCGCCCAGTCATGTGTTCACGGGAGCTCCCACTTTGTGCAGCGAGGCTGGGTGGGTGCAGGGGGTTCTCTTCTCTGCAGACTGAATGCCCTGCTCTGGGGGCCAAGTGGGCCACTGTGCACCAAGTTGGGGGTAACCAGAGGCCCCTGTCATCTTAGTCCATCTGCACCCCACCCGGATGGGGACTGCCACACACTGATGGGGCCAGTCTGGGCCCCCTTGGCCCCCCAGTTCTTGCCCACAGACCTTGTTCCCTGGGTATGGGAGGATGTGGACACAGGAGGCCTAGTTGAAGGAAGCTTGGGAAATGGGAGGCCATCCCTGGGGCACTGGTGACAAATGATAGGCCGATGAGCACTTGCACCCTCACCTGTTGCGCCCTGTAACCTGTTCAGTTACTGCTGCCCCCACCCCCACCTGAGTCTGGCCAAACTTCTGCTGGCGTCTTGCTCACAGGAGCAGCGGCATTTGGAGGGGTGTCCAGCCCCCTTGCCATTGCACGGAAGACGAGGGGGAACTGAGAATCAAGGGGACGTGAACCAGAGGCTGAGTCCACCTGACCCGGCCAGCCTCCATGTTCAGACTCTGCCTCCCGCGCCAGCTGGCCCTGGCCAGTGCCACACGCTCTGCATGTGGGGAGGCTGAGGGCAGGTGAGGTCGGTCCTTGGCCCCGGGGCGGAGCCTGGAAGAGGAGACCCCTTCCTCCCCTGCCTCCTGAAGCTCTGTCGTGTGCAAGCCTGGTGGGGGGGGGGCGGCACCTCCATGGTGTCCCGACAGCCTGCCTCCGTGGCCTTCCACTGGGGTGCTTCTGCCCCCGGGCGCGTTGGACAAGCGGAGGGCTCAGTTTCTGGTTGTCGCCGTGATTGGAAGTGACGCCACTGGCATTTGGCGAACTGGATGTCTAGCAATCTGTGCAGTGAAGCCTGTTTCACATCTTCCGTGACTCGCAGACCCCCGATCCTGCCCCCGCCCTGCCACCCCGCATTCCCGGGGAGCTTCGGGACGCGACTCCTCATTAGTGGCTACGGACTGCAGTGCTCCCTCCGTGTGCTCAGCTCTGCTCTGTGATTGCTGCGCAGGTGTGGCTTGAAATGGCTCCGGGCCTCTCACTTCCCGGAGAGCCCAAACCAGTAAACCCCGGACGACTTGGTTACAGCCCCTCACGCGTCCTGCCCGCGCCTTCACGAACCGCAGCACGTGCACGGAGATGTTACTCTCTTCTCATTTCTCTGTTATATTTCAGTTTGGGCATTAAGTCGCTGTGTGTGTGTGTGTGTGTGTGTGTGTGTTGTTTTTTAAAAATGTGGGATGTCAGTGGACTATACGTGCGTGTCATTTTGGGATGAAAAAGGAGCCTCAAGTATGTTAGAGGTTGGGGCCCGGTGACCTGCACGTGCTGTTGATGTGTGAACCCGAGGAGAAAAATCCAGCGGGAATAAAGCGGGGCCAAGGGGACACCGTTCCCATTGGGCACCAGGGGTCACCAGCCCCAGGGCCATGAGTCCCCTTGGTTCTGGCAGAAATCCCCACTAAATCCTGGGTCGTCCAGCCGTTTCATAACTCTTGCATGTTTCTCCTCGTAGCGTTACCTATTTTTATGGCCTCCGCCGCAGCCAGGGTATGACTTCATTTTCTATTTCTGCCTCTTTCTATCATCCCAGGGCTGAATTGGCTGGTTGTGTGTAGCCCTAAACCTAATTGAAGTCACCGGGGGGTAGAGAGTAGAGCGCAAGGACAGCCTGACCCCAGCACTGGCCACCGCAGACTGTGACTCTGGTCTCAGTTCTGTTTAGCTCTAAAAGAACGCTGGACTCCAGTGCTTTGCTTTCTCTTCACTAGTCACTGACGGTCCATCCGCTGGGTGGCCAGAAGGATGCTGGGCTTGGGGAAGGTTTCAGGGAGATCGGTAGTCTCTGCCCTAAGGCTGTAGGATAGTCGGAGGGAATGTACGCAGAGGGAAGTGAAAGCATGGACGTGAGCGGTGGCTTTATGAGCTGAGGATCCCTAAGTCAGTGGTAGTGATTACTGGGGACAGAGACTTAAATTGACCTAAGCAGATAAGGTGATTGATTAGTTCTTATCCCTTAACAGAGCTCTCCAGCTTCAGGTACAGCTGGATCCAGGGATTTGAAGGGTTTCATTTGAACGTGGTTTCCCTGGCCCTCCTGCCTTCGGCCTCTCCTGTCTGCTTTTCTCACTTTTGCTTTTGTTCTCAGGCAGATTTCCCCTACTTTGGCAGTAAGACAGCTACCAGCAGCTCTGGAATTTCATCATAAGACCTCAGTGACCCCTGGAAAGTGGGGGCTACAAGCTGCTTTGCCAAAGAAACTCCCACAGACATCCCAGGGAAGGTTCTCAGTGGCTTGTTTTGAGTCACATGCCCATTCTTGAACCAATCACTGACCAGTGAATGCAACGACTCAGTTGGTCACATGTACCCCTCCCCTCAAGCTGGGCTCAGCCTGGGGGTATCAGAAAGGGCACCAGAAGCTGGGCATCGGTCCACACACAGAAAGTGCCAAGTTTATCCAGGGATGGTGTTCAGGAGTTTTCTGTGTACTTTGCCCCAAATGACATTCTAAGCCAGACGAGTAAGATTAAGGCTCGGTCCTTTCCCTGTCTTTGCTGCGGTCGTAGGGTTGCTACGCCTCCGCAGGTTGGCTATTAAAATAAGAATTTAGACTGATCTTGGTCTCAGGGGAGGCATGTGGTCCTGGTAAGAGAGGGTTTATGTGTGTGTGCATGCCTGCACACATATATGTATATATATGTATGTGTACATGTATGTATATGGGTGTGCATACGTATGTGTGTATATTGTGTGTATGCACATGGGGTGTGCATGCATGTGTGTGTATTTGTGCATATGTGTGCATGGGGTATGCATGGGGGATGTGTGCCCATGCGTGTGTATGTGTGTGTGTGTGTGTGTGTATTTGCCAGATGAGGATACTGCTTAGAAGGCAGGAGGGGCTTCCTCCTCTGACCTATTTTTTGTCCCTTTGCTCCAGGCCCCTGTCATTTCTCTGTAGTTCCCGGCCTTCGTCACTTGGTTAGCTTGTTGAACCCACAGCCAACTTCAATTTCTTTTTTTAATTTTTATTTATTTATGATAGTCACACACACATAGAGAGAGAGGCAGAGACACAGGCAGAGGGAGAAGCAGGCTCCATGCACCGGGAGCCCGATATGGGATTCGATCCCGGGTCTCCAGGATTGCGCCCTGGGCCAAAGGCAGGCGCCAAACCACTGCGCCACCCAGGGATCCCCCCCAACTTCAATTTCTAGGATATGTGCAGCCATTGGTACGGAGAATGATGAGAGAACTGCTTTCTTCATAGTCAGGACAAACGACCCAAGTGGAGTTAATGTTTTTCAGCAGGAGAGACCCTCTGGCTCAGTGGGCACATCAGAGGTCTGCTCTCCCTCTGCGCACATCAAGTGGTCAGGGATCGTGGAGAGGGCAGGGGTCTGGGGTCATATACATTCTGGTTGAAACTCTGGCCCTGCCTCTTGGCAGCCGTGTGACATGGCAATTCAACTTAGCCTTGCCGAGCCCTCTACCTTCGCTGTGTGACGGGGATGACTTGCTCTGCAGGGTGGCTTGGCAAGGGATGAGGTGTGCAGAGCTCGGTGGCAGTGGGTGTTCATTACAGGGAAAGGCTGTGTCCTCCCTGAAGGAAACTCCCCCTGGGCACGGGGCGGATGAGCAGCACTTGAAGGCTGTCACAGGGTCTCCCCTGGTGACGATGAGCCATGCCTCCTGCACCACAGTGACGGCTGCAGCTCCCTTCCCTGCCAGCTCTCCCTTTCTTCATCCTTCAGCTCGACCACCCCTTCCCAAGAGTGTTTCTCCTCACCTTCAGGTCAGGCCAGCCCTGCTGCCCCTGCTCAGAGCTAGGATCTCAGCAGAAATTACAGGTGTATTTTTCCCGTGATTTGACTTGTATCCTTGCTCATTGCAGGGTTATCTAGGTGCCCTTAGTAAATACTACCAAGTGTGACTCATCGACTGAATGAAGGAGCAGGATACCGGTGTAACACAACCAATATTGCATTTTAACCCCAGTCTCCACCAGCTGCGTGATGCTCTGTAAGCCCTTTTACCTCTTGGGCTTTCATTTGCTTTTGGTACCAGGAAGAGTTGGTTGGATCACTTTTTCCTTTTCTTTCTAATGGTAACCTTTCCTTCTCCTCAAATAAGATCTCATGTGGGGCCCAGATATTTAAACACGGCTCATAGACCAAGTGGGGCCGCTGTGGCTGAGGTATGGGTGGGGTCCAGAGCCGTCCCCTGATGTCTGCCCCCTTCTCACCTCATGACACCCACTTGAACGTGGCCAGCTCAGAGTCTCTCTGGGTGATGGTCTGTATCTCTAATGGACCACAGGACACTCCTGAAAACGTTGTCATTTTTTTTTTAAAGAGAGTTAAACCCTT